TCGGGGGTCTCGAGGAGGCCGACACGCTGCTCGACATGGTCCCCGACCTGCAGACCGCCGGATCCTTCAAGAAGCAGGAGGGTCCCCTGTACCCGGAGTACTACAGCATGTCCAAGATGATGACTGGCACCAAGGCGGGCCTCCTGCACCAGGGCATCTTCAACGTCTCCCCGTACAACTACCTCGAGGGCTCGATCAAGGTGCCGAGTTTCGTCAAGCCGCTCCTCATCCTCGGAAGGGAGAACATTAGCCGTGCCATCAATGGTGATCTTGTCGTTGTCGAGGTGCTGCCGAAGGAGCAGTGGAAGGAGCCTTCGACCAAGATCATCGAGGAGGAAACCATCACGAGAAACGAAAACGCCGACAATGAGGGAGGATCCGATCTCGTCTCGGCACGCGAGCGCAAGGCGCTGCAGGAAGAGGTCATGAAGACGCAGAGCCACAGCACCGAGGGCCGTCCTCAGCCGACAGCAAAGGTTGTCGGCGTCATCAAGCGCAACTGGCGACAATACGTCGGCCATATTGACCCCTCCTCCACCAGTCAGAGCGGCACCCAGGGCCGCCGTCAGGAGAACGTTTTCCTCATCCCGATGGACAAGTGCATCCCCAAGATTCGGATACGCACGAGGCAGGCTGCGGAGCTCCTCGGCAAGCGACTCGTTGTCACGATTGATGGTTGGGAGCGCGACTCGCGACACCCCGTGGGCCATTTCGTGCGGTCCCTCGGAGAGCTTGAGACGAAGCAGGCCGAGACGGAGGCACTTCTGCTAGAGTACGATGTGCAGTACAGACCTTTCCCCAAGACGGTGCTGGACTGTCTGCCAAAGGAGGGCCACGATTGGAGGGTGCCGACGAGCCTGGACGACCCCGGCTGGAGGGATCGCGAGGATCTTCGGTCTCTGCTCATCTGCAGTATCGACCCCATCGGATGCCAGGATATTGACGATGCACTTCACGCGAGGAGTCTGCCCAACGGAAACTACGAGGTTGGCGTCCACATTGCCGACGTGTCCAACTTTGTCAAGCCCTTAACGGCCATGGACAACGAGGCGAGCATCCGCGGCACATCAGTCTACCTGGTGGACAAGCGCATCGACATGTTGCCAATGCTTCTCGGAACAGACCTGTGCTCACTCAATCCTTATATCGAGCGTTTCGCGTTTTCCGTCATCTGGGAGCTCAACGAGAACGCTGACATTGTCAATGTTCGCTTCACAAAGTCTGTCATCAAGTCAAGAGAGGCTCTCAGCTACGAACAAGCGCAGCTGAGAGTGGACGATGCCTCGCAGACGGACGATCTCACCCAGGGCATTCGGATGCTGATGAAGTTGTCGAGAAAGCTCAAGCAGAAGCGTATGGATGCCGGCGCCCTCAGCCTGTCGTCGCCTGAGGTCAAGGTGCAGATGGAGTCGGAGACATCTGACCCAATCGACGTCAAGACCAAGGAGCTTCTGGATACCATGTCACTGGTCGAGGAGTTCATGTTGTTTGCCAATGTCAGCGTCGCGGCCAAGATTTATGAGGCATTCCCGCAGACGGCCATTCTCCGCCGACACGGCGCGCCGCCCAAGACCAACTTTGACGAGCTCGCCAACCAGCTCAAGGTCAAGAAGGGCCTGGAGCTCCGCGTCGACTCGAGCAAGGCGCTCGCCGACTCGCTCGACACGTGCGTCGACCCGGAGAACCCCTTCTTCAACACGCTGGTGCGCATCATGGCGACGCGCTGCATGATGTCGGCCGAATATTTCTGCTCCGGCACCCAGACGTACGACGAGTTCCGCCACTACGGCCTCGCCTCGGAGATCTACACGCACTTCACCTCCCCCATCCGCCGCTACGCAGATCTCCAGGCACACCGGCAGCTCGCCGCCGCCATCGGGTACGAGGCCGTCCACCCGGCGGTCCGCTCCCGGGGCCGCCTCGAGGCCGTGTGCAAGAACATCAACGTTCGCCACCGCAACGCGCAGCTCGCCGGCCGCGCGAGCATTGCATACTACGTCGGACAGGCCCTCAAGGGACGGGAGGCCGAGGAGGACGCGTTCGTCATGAAGATCTTCAGCAACGGCTTCGTCGTACTGGTGCCGCGTTTCGGCATCGAGGGGCTCATCCGGCTTCGAGACCTCGCGACGCCGGAGCCCGACAGCACGTTTGACGCAGACAATTACGTGCTCGAGACGACGGGCAGCCGCGAGGTCAAGGTCGAGCTGTTCCAGAAGGTCAGGGTCAGGGTCCAGGATGACATGGATGAGAGGACGGGCAAGCGGGGGGTCAAGATGGAGCTTGTCACGGCATAAACTAGGACGAGAGGTTGCAAAATAAAAATACCAAGCTTGGGCTGTTCTGTATCACTAAAACATTGCTCATCCTCGCATGCCACTTGTGTCCCATGTTGAGAACTATCCAAGAGGGTCAGATGTATGAACTGATGCCGCTGACGGCCAGGGTCCCTGTCCCTCGCGTTGTCCCAGCATTCAACTGTGGTAGTTCACCCAACCCAAGAGTGACCATTCCGTGATCCCCTTCCGCATTTCCGTATCTCCGAGCGTCATGTCCACCACGTGGTGCCCTGCCAACCCTGTTTGACAAGGAGGGGTATCCTCGTTACCCTCCCTCCTCCAGCCTCAACAGGCTGTGGACTACCCTGAGTGCGGGCAGGTGAACGTTACTATACGCAAGGGGAAGCGTGTGTTCAGGCCTCACCGTCAGGGCTGCATCTGTAGCGCGGTCTTCAGGGCGGAAACAATCAGGTGGACGTGCTATGCCTGCCACACGTGCTATCCCTGGATCCTTTTTTTCGCCAGCTACTCGCGCATAATATTGATCCGCCAGAGCAAGGGGCGGTCCACTACAGTCTAATCCTCAGGGCTGCATCTGTAGCGTCTCTCGCATGCCAGGACTACCCAGGTTGAACGTGCCATCATCCCCCTCGCAGGACACGGCATCCCTGGAGTCTCTAGCTGGTGAGCTTCAGGCGGAAGGTTACCCCTTCGCCCATGATCTTCACCGCCGAGCACAAAGCGCGGACTAACGTCGTGCCCAGCGCGCTGCATCTATCGTGTTGCCGTTCATGCCAGGGACACACCAGACGAACGTGCCGAACCCCCTCAAAACATGGAACCCCTGAGACATAAAGCTGGCAATCTTTCAAATGGCACCCTCCCCCCCCCTCTCCCACGATGTTCACTTAATGGTACAAAGGGCGGGCCGAACTCGTCGTGAGGACTGCGACTATGGTGTTACTATTCATGCCATGGACATGAGCTCGCTACACGCATCACGCGTGCTGTCATCCCTGGAGTACTTAGCTGGCGAGCTCTCGGATGGCACCCTTACCACCCCTCCCATGATATTCACCTAGTATTACAACCGCCGAATTTATCTCCTACCCTACTTAAAGCTGTATCTACAGTGGTCCTGACCCTGCCAGGAAGACCCCAGGTGAACGCAGCATATCCCTCACACGGCAGATATTGTTGAGTCCCGTGGCAGGCGGAACCCCTTTGCGCATAATGTTCATCTACCAGCACAAAGAACAGTCCAATCTCGCCTTCACTTGACCGTCCATAGCGTCGCTTTCTCACACCAGGAACACCCCAGGAAAGGAAAAGGAAAAACGAGGTATACCTGACCCCTCTCGCAAACCAAACCAAGGACATCGTGGTCTGTCAACGTGACGCGGTTTATCTCTAAGGGGGGAAAAAAAACACAATCCTAGAAGCTGGTCCTGCAGATCACGCCAGGTGTGTGCGGACGGCCCCTTGTGGGGCTCTACACGTCCGATGAGGCTCACCATGTACTGTGTAGCCCCCTTCCCCCCCCCCTCTTCCTCCAGCCAGACACCGTATCACAGCCGGGGAAGACGGAGGGGAAAGTTCCGCGAGTAAACAGGCGGTGCGGAATGACAGGCAAGCGCCGATAGGAGCCGGCCCTACGACGGTGGGGGAAAAAGGGGGGGATAAGGGGAGATGTTAACAATGGACAATAGTTGGCGCAACGCAGAGTCCCTGACTGAGCTATATGGCATGGTGCCTGTCGATCTGAATACGACGCTGATCGACACTAGTTCGTGATCATGCAGTGTTGAGGTCAATAGCTTTTGCAAAAAAAAAGGCAAGGGGGGGGAGGGGGGGGGCTTTGCGAATACATATAACTGAAGTTTTGTTATGAGCCAGGGGGAGGGGTTGGTGAGAGGTGGAGAGGGTGGTTTAACCGAAAATGGTATCCGTTCGAACACCTGTTTTTGACTTTGTCCCCAACTATCATGCTGCGCACCCTTCACCGCGGGGTTCGTGGGTACAACGCGACACGACGCAACGCACAAATGCAACTCGGAATGATCCGGCAATACGGTTGAGACGATTCGTGTCCGCCGCGATGGGATGCAAGGAGCTTCATTGCAGGATCGGAGTAAGGCCGTGGCGTGACATTGAGCGATTCGATCCTGCACAGTCCGGTAGGTAAACGGCAGCGGTTAAGTTTTCCCGTTTTACCTCCGGGCCGGACATGAGCTTCCTTTCAGAAAAAGAGGTCTCTTTTCTCATACGCCTTCCTTCGGGACGTGAAGTGATGAGAAGCGTAAGGAGCACAAAGTCAGTACAGGCTGTTGGCAGGCTGGAAACGAAGTAGAGGACTACATGGACAAACCACACCAAAGGCAAGGAAACAGCGGCTCAGCATAAAGATCGTGACTTGTATTCGCCCCTTTTGCCATGCCCTAAACGCCAGTAAACCCAGCAAACTCTGCACCATCTACCTAGGTATCAACAAAACAAGCAGCCTCCGCATTAGGAAGGCACAACTACTGCTCCATGACTTCGTCGTCAGCACCGTCATCGCCCCAGAGACCCTCAATCTTGAACTCCTTGGCCCACTCCGTGACGACTGTCTTCTGGTCCGGCGCCGCCATGTCGTCAGCGACAACGGCATCAGCATCAACGGGTGCGTTGGCGTCGGCGACGGCGAGCACGGGCGGCTCAGTCCAGCCCTGAATGCGGCCGTCGCGCCAGTCCGTGACGACGGTCATGGCGGCAGAGTGCAGGTTGGGCACACCGCCGGGGAAGAAGATGCAAATATTGCGGACGACCTGGACGAGGAAGTCGGTGGTGGGGGTTGCCAAGCAGGTGCGCAGCAGGGCCCGGCAGAATTTTTCGTCAGTGAGCTTTCTGCATCAGGTCGTCCGAGGAAAAACAGGCGATTCAGCAGTAGAGTGACGACGGGGACGGGGTCCTCGATCTGGCGGGGCGGAACGACGTTGAGGAGGACGAGATGGGCGAAAGCCTCGGCAGCGTTCTTCAGTGACACGAGGCCGCCCGTGGTCGAGGTCGAGGCCGAGGGGAAGACGATGCCGGGCGAGTCGAGGAGGGTCAGCTTGCTGTCAATCTTGACGTTGCGGATGCTCTTGGTGACACCAGCCTCGGCGCCGGCGGGGCAGGCGCTGCGGTTGCCGCTGCTGTAGCGTCCGAGGAGGGCGTTGATGACGGAGGACTTGCCGACGTTGGGGTAGCCGATGACGCCGACGGAGACGGCGCGCTTGAGGTTCTTGGCAGCGGCGTACGACTTGAGGGCGCGCAGGAGGTCGCTGGCCGTCTTCTGGCCGGTGAGCTCCTTGTGGTTGAAGGTGTGGGCGTTGGGGGCCGGGTTCGAGGCGCGCAGGGGCATGGTGGGGAAGAAGCGGCGGAGGTGGGTGAGCCAGGCCTTGAGCGTCTTGGCCGGGATAAGATCGATCTTGTTGATGACGAGAATGAGGCGCTTTCCGCCGGCGGCCGCAGCCATGACGGCGCGCTCGACGTCGCGGGAGCGGGTGCCCTCGGGGTCGCGGGCGTCAAGAACGTAGAGGATGACGTCGGCCTGCTCAACAACCTGCTTGAAGATCTTGTCGTAGGCCTTGCGGGACGTGGCATTCTTGAAGGTAGGGTCGACGACGTTTCTGGTATCCTCTTCGTCGTCGTCGTCGTCGTCGTCATCCTCGTCCATGTCTCCGCCTTCGTACTTCTCGGCGGCCTTGCGCGCCGTGGCGAGGAGGGCGGCCATGGGGTTGGACTCGTCGAGCTCGCCGTCCCCGTCCACGTTCATGCCGTCGACGTCGCCGTCCTCGACGTCGACGGGCATGTTGGCAGCGTCGATGCCATCCTGGCCGAGGACGCCAGACTTGGCAGCCTTGGCCATCTCACGCCGCTTCAGCTGTTCCTCCTTCTTGCGCATGCGCGTCTCCTCAATCTCCTCGAGAACCTTCTCCTTGAAGGGATAGAGGTTGGGGATGCCGGGATCCTTCTTGAGCTTGGAGCGCCATTCTGGGTTTTTCTTGCCGAGCTTCTTTTCCTTGCGCTGCTTCGCGGCCGAGGCCTTCTGGATCTTGTGGCGGAGGCGGACGGGCTGCCTCTTGGAATTAGGCCCTGCCAACGGTGTTCAGGTTAGCCGTGGAACGGGGGCAGCTACTTGACACAATCGACAGAAGGGGGGGGGGACAAGAAAGACCGTACTCTTGGGCTTGTTGATCGCGTTGGCCATTGCAAAGGTATATGGCGACGATCTGTAAGTGTCGTTGGTGGAATGAAGTGTCGAGATGCCCCAAAATCGACGACAGCCACGTCGGGAAAGCGCCTGCCAAAATTTCCACTAGACTGGCACCTGCCGCTCTCGAAAATTTAGTGGGCAGGTTTGTTCTGCCGCACCTCACCGCTCCGAGTCCCCCGCCCCTTCCCGGTCTGCCTTCACCGCACACACATATATACTATACCGTACACCGCATACCGACGACAGCGGCCAATGCTCACCGGCTACCGAGGGCCAGGAACGGCAGCCCCGCGATTCTTCATTTCTTCATGTACCGGCTGTAACGGTTTGTCTTATCCACTCGTAAATCTCCAATATGAAAAAAAACTCCGATCACGGACTTCCCAATCAGGAAATGCCTTCCATCATGAAATGTCAACGACAGCTCAACGCTTACCACGACTCACAAAAGGGCGTACGACTCAACCTTGTGCTTGCGATACTTCATATCTGAAAAATCAAATCATCATTCAATTCAATTTTTAGCAACAGCCCCCCCCATCACAGATCGTCGATCGTCGGAGCAGCCGGCCCCCAAATAAGTGTCCCATCATTATCCCTGTTACGGACGCCCTATCTCCCTGCGTCCGTCTCCAAGACCATCGTCCGACCCAAACCCATACACGCCTCTGACACGCCATCACGAACTTATCATGGGCTCCACGGCAACCGGCGTCAATGCGTCCTTCACGGCGGCCCCAGAGCGGGCCACCTTTGACGGCTTCCTGTTCGACATGGATGGTACCATCATCGATTCGACGCCGGCAATCGAGAAGCATTGGCACAGGTGAGAGAGACTTTCCCCCGGCCAACATGACCTCCCTTGCGTCTGCATCTCAGTCGAACCCAGCACCCTCTCACTCTCTCTCTCTCTCTCTCTCTCTCTCTGTCGCCCCTGCGCGTAGACCATACCTTGCCCCCCTTCCCCCCGGAAACCACCCCGTCTGATGCCCCGCCGTCTTCGGCTCCCTTGCAGCATCGGCCAGGACATTGGTGTTTCTGCCAACGTCATCCTCCAAACCTCGCATGGTCGCCGCAGCATCGACGTCC